CTCTATCTCTTTGCAAGTGCTTTCATTTCTTTCGCAATTGGGTGGCATTGTCTTTCATTGTGAATTTGCACTTGGGAAATGACCAGGATCGTAACTCTATCTATCTATCTATCTATCTATCTATCTATCTATCTATCTATCTATCTATCTATAGTAGCTGATTGGGATATATTTTTAGTCTTCATATAATCAGTAATGGTTGAATCTCTAGCATTTTTAAGAAATCAAAAACCTTGTCTCTCTCTCTCTCTCTCTCTCTCTCTCTCTCTCTCTCTCTCTCTCTCTCTCTCTCTCTCTCTCTCTCTCTCTCTCAGCTCGGTGAAACGGCACTTAAATAGCACCCACCGGTGCCTCCGAGCCTCTTTTTTACAATCCTCGATTTGCCTGGCCCTAAAAAAAAATGAACAGTTGCAATCAATGGCCTGCCGGGTGTCGCGAGCCTCTTTGGTCCAGCAGGCTGAACCTTTCCACGTCACCAGGTTGACCGGGGGGTGCATGCAGAGTAGCTGGCCGGGGTATTGGTGGTTTAATTACTCTCTTTGCTTCCTGCTCTGTTTTCTCCAGTCTTCATTACACTCATTCCATATGGGTTGGACCACCTACATTCCTCTCCCTGACCATGAGGCCCATTACATGCCCTTAGTTGAGAGAACCCATTGGTTCCCTTTTGTTATTGGCAGTCTAGTAGTCTACCTGATTGCACAACAGCATCCTTGCATTTCCAAGAGTGACAGTTTATAAACTTCTGTACTTCAAACAACAACAAGAAAAGTGTCTGCTGTGTTCCAAAGTGTGGGGAATGATGAAGTCCTCTGGGACATACATTTAAATTGGAACGATAGTACGACACAGAGAAGATTAAGTATGGCCCCCGCGCTAGGACAACACGGATAAATTGAGAAACAAATAGTCCAATTTTTTTGGTTGTAAGCAGTAGAGTGTCATTGGATTTGGATCAGTACCTCTGGGCCTCACCCCTCCTCGTCCGTGCAAGCACGGACTCGAACCGGCAACCTCGGCCTCAAGAGCCAAGCATCGTAACCACTTCAGCCAGGACACTGTGTTAAAAAAGAAGTGCGACCGTGCAGTCCATGATCAGTAGTAGTGTCCACACACAACACCACACGGACGCTGGCAATCACCACACACTTCGCTCCAAGTAGCACATGACCCCCATCAGTAGAGTGGCCACACTTTTTTGAAAAAACACAAAAAGAGTGTGCGGATTCTGGGGAATGAAATAATTTGGGTCAGTGATTTTCAGAGTCAAACCATTTTGTTTGTTTTGTGGCAGCAATATGAATGGCCTCTTTGGGCCATTGCAAGGCCTCCCAATCATTTACATGACCATCATAATGAAAAAGCATGATAGTGAACCTGTTGGACAGCTGGCAATCACCCATCCATTACCACCCACCACCAGAAATGAAGTGCGATCAAGAAGCACGAACAACCCGCGACAGAATGTTTAACAGACAAACACAAACAAGCAGAGAGTAATCAGATCACCAAACCCATATGACCACATGCAAACATGCATGCATGTTTATACACTTGCTTTGCGGATCTTCTTGTAGTATCATATCATTCATGGGCCTTTCCACTTATATTGTATGGCAGATTGTGGCTTTCCTCAAACAAGGAAACAAAAGTTTGGGAAGACATGTACTCTGTCTGGGATCTGTTTTGCATCATGCCGATTTCATTCTTTTCTTTTCTTTGTCCTTTGCTCTTTTTTTTTTCCCCCTGATAAAACCCGTGTCAAAAGTATTTTGATTATGTAATGTACGTGCATCATGCACACATCTCTCTCTCTCTCTCTCTCTCTCTCTCTCTCTCTCTC